GCCCTTACATTCACTGTAAGTCAGAAGCATTTTGTTTTTTAATTGTCTTATTTTTTCCAGCCGACTCACGGGCTACTCGACGATTTTGACAGACGGCGGCTCTCTCCATGTGTCTCAGAATCGGATATCATTTTCTTGTTTTCTTGCGAATTTCTATTGTACACTGTACTTTTCGTTTTTGCATTTGTATAGCTATACTCCGTTGTTTTCCCAGTGGCCTTTGAAGTACAGAATTTTTCATTGTTTACAAATCCCACCAGCGGAGCATCGAAGCTGAGAGGCGTTTTCGAGAAAACTGTTGGCTGTATGAGAGGCGAGTGATGACTGGAAAGGCAGGTACTGTCCAGCACACTAGAAATTACTTTCATTACATGAGCCGAAGGGTCTAGATCTGCGCCAACAAGGTTTTGCAATATCCAGAAACGATTTCTGTCCGTGATTGTGAAGAAAAGAACAAAGAAGTGTTCAGCGTTCAAAATTCCTCAAGACATGCGCCACCACGCATCGACCCTCTTTGGACTTATAAGAGGACGTGGATTACTTGACGCACGGAATGGTACAGTCTTAAATGAGACCTCTATCAGCAAATGCTGTGACGTCTTCGTCATTGCTGCTTTTGTACCTGATGCTCGCCACTAAGAATTAAAGTGTGGAGGTTTCAGCTCTCAGAGAAGTGAGCCGTGAAGGCAAGTCACAACCCAGGCAGAAGTCGTGTGAACGCTTCCCTTCGGTCTGTAGTATAGACCCCTAGAGGACAATCACAATGTGGCGTTCCCGTGCACGGAAACCAACCGACAAGAGCGCTTGGGCCTTGCAAAGTAAGCTGCTGAGCTGCAGATTTTTTTTATCAGGCTGTTGTCTGGCCGTCTGTTGCGCTCTCTCGCCTCATACTCTCCTCTCCCATTGCTTAGTCTCTCATTCCCTTAGCACAGCCGATTAGGAAGGTGAGTGAGCCCTCAACCTGAGCGTTTTCGACGGATTCTTTTCCTTTTTTCTTTACTGCCGGCCCATTTGCACCATACATTCGCATTCGTGTGCAAGAGCCACACCAATTTGATCCTGGGACATGCCTTTGAATCCTGATGATGAGGAGCCTGATGGCTGGCTTTTACAAGAGGCCTCCTGGACAAGGACTGGACCATTCTATGGTGTGTGCATACCAGTGAAGTGAGATTTTTTCTTTGCTTAGCAGCTTTCAATGTCCATTATTCCTACGAAGTTCTCGAAAACACCTCTCCCAAAGTCGATCTTAGCTCCGTTAGCGTCCAATCCTAACATCCTAACCCGAAAATTACCATTTAAAATGAACTGCTCCGTCCATCGATGAAAAAACTCGATCGCTGTTTTGGACGGAAGAATTCTCTGAGTTGACTGTGATCCGTGTATTTTTGCCAGACATTATACACTACTATGTCAGATTATTTTATTGTCATAAAAATATGTATTCAAGCATCAAAATACACAAAAAGGAATTACAAATAAAACGACGAGAAAAAGGGAACTATCTCATTAAAAATATGTATATATTTATAAACAACGCACCCGTAAAGCAATCCTGTTATTATTGTTGTGTCGTGGTTAGATAATGAGAAATGCGTGCGAAACGACAGAGAAGAGATTCCACATATGGCAAGGGACATCACAACGGAGATTTGTTTTGGCTTACGCGCAGCGGAGCCCATGCCAGTGTGTGGGGAGGATGCGGGCACGTGAACGGGGGGTCTGGGAGGAGGGAGATGGGGCGCGGGGGCGCGGGGTGGCGGCAAAGGCGTCGTTTTGATGAGCTCGAAAGGAATCGAACAGGCACGGGCGAGAGGCACTACATCACAGCATTAGCGCGATTTAAACGCAATTATAAGGCACAAATCGAATACAAGGACAAAAAAAGCAGCCGGCAAATATATGAAGCCGACAGATACACCATTCAAAGAGGCAAAACCCGGCGTCTAATCGACTCATCAAGACAAAAAAGCCGGAAGCGACATGGTCACAAACACAAGGAGGCTGACCAGTCGCCGTCAACTTGCAAGCAAAAAAAACACTAGTACTAGCAAGATTATCTATTCGATGTAAGCAACGCGAATAGCGTTTGATACGGTAATTCACAAGCGAATACAAGAGCTGCTGCTTCACCGTAGCGCACACTACGATGAACTCAAAGCAATTGTGTGTTTCACTAACGGGTGAAACTTCGTTATTAGTACCACGTTAAGTAATATGTTAGAGCATAAATACACTTCTACCGAGGCACAATGACGATTTCCGAAATGAAGCGCTGACTTGAATGAGCGGCAAATGGAGGAGAAGCGACAACTACCCGCAAGACAGTCACCTCCGATTCAATGACTGTCTACAACCAAGCACAAATAGCACACTTGGTAAGTCGACTCCACCATAAGCAGGCGCATCTACAGCACAGCCCTACGGCGAGGGATGTACACGCGTGAGCTCTCATCGTCCGATTCCTCTTGGGCCCTTCCCCAACGGCGTAGACGACGCGGTGTGAAAAACGTGGTGACTGCTGGAGTCATTGTGGGTACGGGACAGCGCTCATACGACGGCGGCAGTGACGCGTCCGGAACAATGTCCACGCAGTAGTTCTTTCCCGAGTTGTTGTCCCAGAATTCTTGACCATTCACGGAGAAACGCACACAGAACTGGCATTGTCCTTCCTGAAATATTTGGTTGAGGACGACAAACCAGTAAGAGTTTAGGAAACTTTAGATTAGGTAAGTTTGGTTTAGGTAAAGGGGCGTTTCGGTGCATATAGTAACCAATTTCCTATCAGCTGATTAGTGCACTACTAAACCGGCAAGTGGAACACCTCCCCCCACCTCCCCAGTAACCGCCTGCAGTCCACCAAAACCGTTGCAGAATAGCCTCAATTGACGCTAAAAGGAGGATTCCACGATAAGAACGATGGTGAGAAGGGAGACGTGCGTTTCTCCTCCTGGGGTCAAGGTCACCACAGTTGCGCGATCATTGAAGCTTAAGGTTAAGTTTGGGTTTAGACTTAGGTTAAGGCTTATGCTTACACATTGGCTTATGCCTAAGCCTATGATTGGGCCTAGGCTTAGTCCTAAGCTTGCTCCGAGCGAATGAACGGCGCGTCTCAATTTTGGGTGACCTGACCCCAGAGGAGAAACGCTACGCACCCCTAATCCACGGCCCAATTGGCCTGCACCGTCCACCAACCATCTCACCACCCGGCGCAGGCCCATACTCGGTAAGTGATTAGATAGCAGGAAGAGCCTTAGCGTTGAGAGACGCGACAATGGGAGTCGCATGAATGCGGAAACCAACGGGCAAGGAACGGGTACCGTTTCTCTGGTTTTGGGCCATTTCCCAAGGTTTCTTCTTTATCCCTGCTTCACTGACCACCTCAACCTCCAATAGGCTACCTTTTCATCGTGAAAACTGCCTTGAAATGTAAGAAAATATCTGCTGCGCCTGCTAACCTAGTTAAGTAAATACACCAGGTGAAAGATACAGATCACCGGGATTCAGAAAGTCCTGGAGTTCTTCTGTTTATTTCCTTGAGCGGGGTGGTGTAGTGGGAAGAGGAGCCGTCTTACTCGCGGGCTAGGGTCAAATGGCAGATCGAATCCGGCCGATTTGCGACAGTGCACAAGAACTTAGGGCTAGTTTAAACGAACCTTTACACCTGCGGGAAGCATCATTGAGAATACAAAGGCGTCGACGTTGTCAGCGCCAAAGACGGTGTGTCCGTAAGTTGCGGCGACCTCGTCGTGGGTGGCCCAATTGCTGGTAGTGTAGCGAATCGCAACCTGGAAAACCACGATCTTGCGAGCTGAACATAAACGACTTTCGGCAGTGCCAACCATCGCGTTCTCTCTTTCTAAAAACTTTGTGACCACCCCCACCCCCCCCCCTTTAGAATCTGATACGACCTCCCTATCACCGTTAGCTCAGAGGATCCTCGAATACGAACCCTTCCTCACCACCATCAACCACCACCCCACCATCATGGTTATTTCTTGAATATTTGATTCTGGAACCAGTCGACACATCAACTCCGCCGCCTACTTTTTCCTGAAGCAGTTGTTGAGCAGAGGGGGAAGGAAGGGTGAATAAGCCGCGCTTTCGTGAAACTTTCGTCAAACTCAACGTAAAAAATACATCCGAAAACCCCTCAGATTCAGCCCCTTTACAGTCCCCCTTCACACTTCAAAGGTAGCTAAGTTCGCTCAACCCCAGAAGTGGGACCCCTACGCCTTCCCAAAAAACAAAATGCGACCCCCCGTTCGAATATTGTGAATGGGACGGTTGACCTGCACTCAAAGAGCAACTTCGTACCTCTTTGGAAAAAGCGATGTTTGCGACGTTGACCTGGCCATTTATGGTGTGACCATGAACGCGTAGCTTCGCCAAACACACCATTTGGTCGCGAGCTCGCTGATTATATTCGGATTCAGAGCAATAAACGAAGTTGGACAGCACAAGGCGATGTCCAGGAGTTGGAGAAGATGGTGGTGTCGGGAAACTGAAACTATTTTATACTTAATTTTGCTTCGTTATGAAGACCTATGAAGCTATAAGTAACTCCCTAATAACGAAACAAGGAGTAATGAACGTAGCAAATTGCGGAAGAACTCACAGATCTGGATCTTTTTCCGTGAAGTACTGTCGTTTTTCCAAGTCCAAGCCAAGAGCGTCAGCAAAACGCACACGTTTGGCACACGCCTTCGATCTGAACGGCGTAGAGTGACCGTAATGAACACATCTTGTGCCTTCTCACGTCCCTCGAAACAGCGCAATAAGTCATGCAGACCTACTTAGTATCAGAATCTGCGAGACAAACCAATATAGATTAATTACATATATTAGACGTTTAATTCTATTCCGCATTCTCCCTTACGCCCCTTTAAAGGCACAACCCAGGCAGAGGTCGTGTGAACTCTTCTCTTCGGTCAGAAGTATAGAACCCTAGGGGACAATCACAAATGTGGCGTTCACGTGCACGGAATTCGACCGACAAGAACGCTTTGGGCTTGCAAAGTAAGCTGCTCGAGCTGCAGCGAACGAGCTCTCTTATCAGGCCGTTGTCTGGTGCTCTCTCATCTGATGCGCTCTCTCGCCCCATACTCTCTCGCTTAGTAGTCTCTCGTTCCTTTAGCACAGCCAATTAGGAAGGTGAGTGAGCCCTCAACCTGAGCGTTTTCGACGGATTCTTTTCCTTTTTTCTTCACTGCCGGCCCACTTGGCACCGATACATTCACATTCGTGTGCAAGAGCCACACCAGTGCGATCCTGGGGCATGCCTTTAAGGCCTTTGCTACTATGGCCGGTTCGCTCATTGTTAGCGAATCGCTGGATTCGCAAAGTCTGACAGCGACCCTATTTGCAAATTCAGTTCGCGCGACACGCAGGTTTGTGTTTTCTGGCCGGTTACGTGGCTACGTGGACTTATCATATGTTCTCTGTCGTGGATGGCTAAGGCGCAGACTCGGTGCCTGGCTCAGCACCAGATCCCAAGGCAGAAGGTGAAGGCCTCACTTGCTAGAAGCAAGCTTGGGACTAAGCCTAGGCTCAATCATAGGCTTGAGCATAAGCCAATGTGTAACATAAGCCTAAGCCTAAGCCTAAACCAAGCTTAACAATTAGAATTTAATGATCGCGCAGCTCTGGTGACCTGAACTCTGAAGGAGAACTGAACGTCTCCCGGATTAACTTTGGAGGAGGAAAGGGCTTCGTGGTGAGTGAGCAGTGTAGCAAAAGCTTAGTGCGTTAGATTACAATGGTCATGAGGCACTGATTAAACGAGATGGTGCAGACGACAGCAACAAAATTAGGCACTCAAGGACTGAATTTACAGCCCTAGACCCTTTCTGGGTCTTCAAGCATCGAGCAACGTAATTTTATCCTCTAACCCTTTCCGGACCGCCTGACACCCATGGGGTGTCAGGAACTTCAAGAGCTGATTTTTCCAAGAGTTTGGTTTTTCGATAAAATATTTTATGTTGTTACATATCCTATGTAACAGACTCATGCCATATGTATGAAAAAACCTAGACTTTAGGTTTAATCTAGGTTCTAAAATAACCAAAAAGTAAATGGACTTCCACTTTGGGCTCAAAGAAAACAGTTGTAGTTCGCTTGAAAACACTTCATAAACGAAGAATTTGTGAAATATCGTGCTCGTCGTATCTGATTCTTATGGATCCAATCGTTTTGGGCACGTTCTACTCCCTTTTTCTCCATACCAACTTATTTTGAACAATTTTCGTCCCTTCCTCCCTTTTTATGGCCCTTTCCCTTTTTTTTTACAAAACAGTTTTCTGTCAAATTAATCTTATATATTCTTCGAGACATGACAAAGACATAAACGAGACAAAATAATGGCTTTAGTGGGAATACAGATTAAATATATGATATTTATGCTTGCCGCGCAGCATGCGGCCGTGAGCGCAAAAAGTGCGCGGTCCGGAAAGGGCTAACGAACTAATCGGCATGTGTCAGTATGTCCTGAATTTCGCGCTGCTCAATGTGACCCGGCGATTTGGGACTCGATACTGGTGACCGTACTTAGTCATCAGTTCCGGATCTGCAATTTTCTTCTTTCCCAGGTAACCTATCAGCTGCAAAAAATCTTTAGCCATGCTGCCCACATGCCGTTTCCGATCTTGAAAATGTACTCTTGTTTACGATTTGCATGAGGATGTACTGAATTCCTCATCGAAACATATTCTGAGCAACAAGTGACGAACTAACTTTGTGCTCGACAGTAATCGTTCTATTTTTCACGGAATATCATGCCCTTTACATGAGCAAAACATCTTTTTATAAGCTGTGGCTGAGATGATAAGTCCTTCTTGAATGCTTGCAAAAACTGATTTCTTCCACCGCTACAAACACTAAACATGAAAGATGACAGCGGACTACGGTAAAGCCCGGCAGTACACCCTACGATACTTTGGTCTCGAAAAAAAATCGCAAACGGATTGTTTTTGAATCAAAAATTGGGGTTTCTGAACACTTTCACAAGAGGATCCATTCTTGAGATGGGAAG